GGCCAGTAAACCAAATTATAACCCCTAAATTGTGCTGAAGCCTGCTTTCTGTTGTTTTTTCCCATCCCCATAGCCAAAAAGAAACATGCTTCAAAGTAGGTGTGTGTGTTTATTCAAGGCAATCACAGAGTAAACGACAACTTTTTGGTCCTTAGAGAGGGGTATAAAAATTCCAAGCCATGCCTGAGAGAGGGGTATAAAAATTCCAAGCCATGCTGCAAAGATGGCTTGAGACAGCAGGCTCAGGAGGACGGACATCAACTCCCACAGACTCTTGTCTACAATTTTTTCTGCACTATCAATGGGGGGCTTGTGCTAAGCCTGAAGAGGTAGAATTGTCTTGACAGAAGCTTGCAATTGGTTTGATTTTTTTAAGTGGTCCAAATTACTTTTTACTGGGAGGCATTTTTCCATATTGCAAACTTTGGTCTAAATTAGAAGAAATTTGTGGCAATAAATCAAATGGAAATCATCACCAGCCACATCAGTTATCTGCCATATTATTAGATTACTCCTGTTCCTAGAGATGGCCTGTACAGTGGGGTCTCGACTTACGAACGACCCGACTTGCGAACAATTCGAGTTACGAACCTGCCCTATAGGGAAAGTAAGGACTCCACATGCGAACTTCCCTCCAGTTACGAACAGGGAAAAAAGTCCCCCCTCCCTCCCCTTAGAGGCTTCTGGAGGGGGGAAAAGGGTCAGAAACTTAAAAATAAAGACTGTACTGTTAAATAAAGTCACTTACCAGGCCTTGGTAGCCCCCAAACCACAGGAAAAAGAGCAGGAAAGAGCTAAAAGCCGACACCCAGAAAGAGCCTGGCAGCCATTTTGTGGTTTTCCCCCGCTCCTCTCCCCCCCTAACAGCTGATCGGCTGGCTCTGAGTAGGCTTCCGGAGGCTTGCTCAGCACCTAAAAAGCTTGCCTGAGTGCCTTTGTGCTGAAAAAATCAACACAACATGCTTTAAAACATTATTTAAAATTGGCTTCGTTTTTTAAAAAAAAAGAGTTCTGAAGTGCTGCCTTTAGTGTTCCCTGCCTTCCCTGAACCTAAGGGGAAAAAAGAAAGAAAATATCCCCCTCTAGTGGCAGAAGGCAGAATAGCAGCTTCCCATTAGTTTCTATGGACAGAAAAGAGCAGATACGGATTAAATGGTTTTCAATGCATTCCTATGGGAAATGCAGATTCGACTTAAGAACTTTTCGACTTGAGAACCACCTTCCAATACGGATTAAGTTCTTAAGTCGAGACCCCACTGTACCTATCACGGCTACCTAAGTGGAGATCAAGGCAGCTACAAGGTGCTTGAAGCAAAAATAAATGTTATTTATTATATAAACCACACTTCGGAATCCACATTTTCTTCTGCAACAGAAGAAAGGAAAACCAAGGCTGCATTCTAGTTCACACAGAATGCATTGCAGTCAACTGCAAAGATAATTACATAGCTGTTAGGCATAACCTCTTCCATTCTCTCAATTACTCTCTCTTTCACATACATGACCACACAAACCTCTTCTTTCATCTTCATTTGTTCATGCTAGTAAACTCCACTGAACTTAGTGGATCTTCATTCTGAACAGACCTCTCAAGGATTCCTTTGCACATCCACATCTCTAACACATCTACTCTTAACTAATAGCTGTGATGGCAGGGGACAGTTGAGATCAAAAAGAAAACAAGATGGGAAAATGGAAAGAGGAGATGGCAAATAAAGTAGAAATAAAGGTGGGAAAAGATCATAAACAAGGCAAGAATTTTAAAGGTGGGTCATTACAGTAAGGATAATAAGAGAATGAAAAAAAAATATCAAGAGAAGAAATAAACCAGGAGGGCAGGACAAATATTGGGGGAACTGCCCCGCAGATTTGAACTTACCAAATAGCAGTTAGCTTGTTTGAATGGGCAGCTAGAGGTACCACCATTACATTCAGAACTGGCTTTCCACTTCAACAATAGCGCTGAGTCTCAATTGTAGAACACTGCAGATAATCCAGGTCTTTTCATTCATCTCAGTAGGTCTAGCTCATGAATGTATCAATTTCAGGTAAGATTTAATTTGTGTCCTCAACACATTTACTAATTAATAAGCTACATTAGAAACAGCAAGTCTTCAATGTAAAGCAGCACACACCTCTAGGGAGAGATAAACAAGTATACCTAATGTATCAGTTTCATCATATGCTGAAGATGTAACCGTAGCTTTTTGATGATGCAACTGATGTCTGTTTGATTTAAATTCATGAAGATATTGCATGTACAAATACTGTGAACTACCGCCAGACAACATTGCTGCACTTCATTGCACCAACAATACTGACAAGCAAAATATTTATTGCTTAGGATACATACAATCTCCACTTGTCACAATGAATCAGAAACAGTGCTTCATATTCTGAAAAGTAGACTGGAACTGTTGTAGAATGACTGATTTGAAAACAATGGCTGAAATCCTACTGAGCAGCTACACTTGCATATTTCAACATTATGCAAGTGGTACCTCTAATTGCACCAAAGTAGAAGAGCTATTCACAAAGCCCTTCCGCAGGTGCACTGCACAACAGTCACAACTGTAACAATGCAACCAACCACGCAATTGTTACACAACCATAATGCCTGGCAAATTTACACAGGTAAAATTTTATACAAAAACAAACAGGATTCTGGCCAGTTACTCCTTCCTTAGGTTTCTCTTCTTTAGACTTCAGTCAAAAACAGAAGTCAATGGTTTTCTTTGGACAAGCCAAATCATTCTGGGATTACAGCCATTTTACTCAGAGAAATCCAAATGGACAAATATATGCACCACACTGGGACAATAAAAATTGAGAATGAAAATGTTAGAATACCCTTGCCAGAGGCCACCACCTGCTGTTTCTAGCAGGCAACTGAATGCTTCTGGACATGAAAACTGTAGTCTTCTCGTTTGCTTCCACACTTGGTCCCTACATCTGCACGTGCAGAACCAATTCAGTTATCATGGACTAGTGTGTGAGAAACACACATTAAAATTTTAATTTAATCAACAGAGATATTCTGCATTACATGTCACAAGGGTTCTAAAACTTTTGGGGGATGAATTAGAACATCATATACAAAATCAAATCAAATAACATTTTTGACAGTAGTATAGAATGGTATTGTATCGTCTTCTGAAAAATCAAAGCACATTTCATATGACTGCTCTTCATTACTCGCGCAGTATGAGTGATTCATGAGTTGGTACGTAAGTACACTGGACAGCACAGTAGCATCATATTGTGCCAAACTCTGGAACAGATTTTAGAGAGCTGCCTCTCAATTTCCTTTCTGCTTAACCATAGCTTCGTGCTGTCAGCCAACAATCCAATCTTATTAATTCCAAAGGCCCTGAAAGAAGAACAAAAGTCATCCAATAATTTCTTAAATGGGAAGAGAGCATGCAGATTTAGGTCTTCATCAAGGAACAAAGTGATCCATATGTTGTAGCTCAGATTGCTGAATTCACAGCAAAGCTAGCAAGCATTTATGAAAGATGATTCTTGAACAGGTGCTTCACAGCGAGAAAACCAAACAGTGAAAAAAGCAACTACAACTGTGTATGGATCCCAAGTCAAATTTTTAAATCAGCAACAATTCTCCTCCAGTATTTTTGCAAAGCCACTATTGACTCTGAAGCAGGTTTTTGTTTTTGCACAGGATTTGTTTATTGATCTCGTTTTCCCACAATTCTGTCATCAATGTACAATTCAAGATGGGTGCTGAATGGGATTCTTATGTGCCAAACAGCAAAGTAGGAATAATCATAAACAGAAAATAACAGTGGCACCTAACCCTCCCTCACTTGGCAACAGTTAAGAAAATAAGTGTAGCTCACCCACTTGTGAGTCTTCTGTGTGTGCTGATTTTTCTTACCAACAGCCAAATGGGCTGCAGAAATCAAGCAAGTCCTAGTGCAACTTCTAGTTGGTTTGAAAACAGCACCAGTCATAAAATAATTATACACTTTTATTTAGCAATATTCAAGGGGAATTTTTTATTATTAAAACTCTCCCCTCTTGCCACTTTCCTATATTATTTGTCAGTAAAAGTAAACAATTATCAAAAGCCCAAAGGGAATTGAAATTTTCCATGGGTTGCCAGAAACGCCGTTGCAAAAAAGATTTATTAGCAGCCACCTTTCCTGAAATTTAAAATGCTTTCTATTGTACTTTAATCATTTTGAAATTAAAATACCTGTAAAAATGCAAGTAAAACGTGGGTATACAGAATTAAGGGAACTAAATTACACAACAGGAATACAATTTTGTATGCATGACCTGGCCTAGGTTCACTAATTAAGTGGTGTTGGTTAAAACACCAACTTTTACATCTTGGCTCCATTCTACAAAGGAAATCCTCATATGCAGCATGTGCATATATGGATTCAAATGTGTACATGGATCCTCATCTTACTCCCATTGAAATGAATAGATAGATCTGCTAAGTATGGAAAAACAAAACATTTCCATCTGGGGCCACATTGGTGGTTCTTCTTTTATTTTACTCTACTTGCTCTGATCAGAACAGCAAGCATAAATGATGGTCTATGGCATAGAGATGTCGTTAGCATAATATACAACTTAAATTGCCGATGTACATCACAGTCAAACTGGCAGAAACAGTACATGGAACTGTCTTTCCTGGACTGTAACATTTCAAATTGAGGGTGGGCATTTTATATCTGACTGCTTCCTCAGGGCTCAGTGGAAGAATTGTACTAGAAAAGTAGTGAGAGGAAGAAGGTTTAGTTAAGCCTGCTCACTTGCAGGAGATTCTTTATCTATGGAAGCATTCAATTATTTGATCTACCTTGTCCCTAAAAGATGCAGGGATTATAAAATGTGCTATTTCTGCATTTTCAAAGACCCTTTCTGGGTGCTGAGAAGGTTTTGGTCTTCCATGGGTATGTGGAAAGTTGAATAACATGTAGGCATTCGATCTTGCCATTTCAGTTAGATCTGTCTCTTATTGCTTTGGAAAAAATACAGAAAACTTTTATTAAGGTATGGGCCAAGAAAACAGTTAATCTTTGGCTAGGTTACAAGAGCTTACAACATTAATTCCTTAAGATTTACACTTTGCAAGAGATCTCTGTACATCTGAAAGATTTCTGGTCCTTTCATATCTTTGACTTTAAAAATTATGAAGCATCTGGCCTTCAAACATGCTTAAGAGGAATAGAAAAACATAAAAATTAAAGAGAAATCACAATAATGCCATAAAAGTCTGCCTCTCACAAGCCTGCATTAAGAAACTGACAGGAGAAAGATTTAGCCTCCCCATGTCCCACATTTCTGTAGCACCCAAAAATAGTAATAAAAAATTAAAAATAAGTATTCATCAAAGGAATGCTTTGATTTCAAGCTATCCCCACCGTCTCACAGTTTTAGGACCTAACATTTTTGACTGGCAGTACACTGGAGGAGCATGCTTTTCAGCTGGGGTAATGGAAGTAAAAATTCTCTGCTCCCCTCTTCTCTCCCCTTCCCCTTTTATTAACTATAGGCAATTAAGGCAAAAGCACGTGATACTTTGTACAAGATCTGGTCACACAAATATCTTTCAAATCCGCAAGACACGATGGCTGGGTCTTGGACAGGCAATTCATTTGCGAGGCTGGTGGATGTACTGTTTGACATGTTGTGCAGGAGGAAGCTTCTCCACAGAGGGATGTGGTTTCTGATGAGCCACCTGGGCTGCAGCTGGAGGGAAATCTTTATCACCCTGGGTAAAGGGGAAACACGTAATTGGTAAAAGAAAAAGAAAAGCATCCATATTATCTGGAATTAGATCACAGCAAACTTATACAAATATGTGTGGTTGTTCCAGTTCTGTCACATAAGAAAGCAAAAACAAAAATATCATACCTCCCTCCTATGTTCCCCAAAATTCGGACTACAGAATATGGGTCTGTATTTAATTTCTTGTTATCATGTGTCATCATATCTCATCTGACTTATGGAAACCCTGGCAGGGTTCTCAAGATATGCAAGACATTTAAGGAGTGTGTTTACCACTGCTGCCCCCTAGTGAATAGCCATGATTGTGCAAGAACTTTAAACTGGATCTTCTGAGTCATTCTATCCACTATACTGCACTAGCCCTCAACTATATTTAATGCTAGCTCCTGATATACTAAAATAATGATTGTTTCTGAAATGACAAACTGCAATTGGTTTCAGCTTCGGGAAACCTGTTGTTTGACAGGAATCCAGAATCTGAAGCTGGGCATAAGTCTGCGCAAGTCACTGTAGGCCTGTCTCAACTATATTTATTTATTTATTTGATTTTTACCCACCTGTCTCAACTATATTTATTTATTTGATTTTTACCCGCCCCCTCTAGTCATGTCTACTATATGGATGAAGGTAAACATTTTTATTACAAGCAAGTGGCTATAATAAAGCTTGCATGTAGGCTTTTGTGATATCACAGCAATACATGAATACACCTAGAAAAAAATACTGACAACCTACTATTTTCTTCATTTTCCTTTTCTCAGATGATCTATCACATTAAGGCTGACCAACTTATTTCCACCATCTGAAGCTTCTGACTGACTGCATGTTAGTTCTTATGAAAGGAGGGAACTGCATGCTAAACTGGCAGCAAAGGTCCATAGACCATAATGTGACATTTTCCTTACAAGAACTGTATATATAATCTATGATTTAAAAACATATCAGACATGTCTGTGACCTGATTTTAAAAAGTCCTAGCGGATTCACTACCTGAATTTTAGACAATTTACTCTATGTTAAGTTGGCATAATAACTACTAAATAGTCCTGAAGCAAAAAGCATATGTATGTTATATCAGGAATCCACTCCAGTAAAAGCACTTCCATGTGTAAGAGAAGAATGTGTGTGTGTTTTTTTTTTTTTACAAATAGTGCTTCCATCTACACCTTTTATAAATTGATACATACATGTGTGTGAAATGCACAGATACAAGTACATCCACATATTTATATGGAATTCTATAGTGGATTGATCTAACTTGTAAATCAGGGAAATACTGCATCTCTTCTGTTTCATGATAACTCATTTTTTTGTTGCCAACAATAGCATAGCATTACAACCTCTCTAAAACTGGGAAAAGATTAAAAATTGCATGATGTGTTCAGGGTTTGCAAGCCACCGGGAGGGCACAGTTGAGAGTTCGGGGCACAACTGTAGTTATAACACATATTTTATACTAGGTTTATTTTTATTGTGTAACATGTCTCACAAGAGCCAGTGCAGTATAGTGCAGGGGTCCCCAACCCCCGGCCCATGGGCTTCCTGGAACTGGGCCATGAAGACTGCTCTCCACCCCCCTGCCTGCATGCACGGCGGGTGTGTCGTGCTTGCGGAGGGACGTGTCGAGCTCATGAGTGGATGTGTTGCGCGCCACGCCCCTCTGCAAGCACAACATGCCCACCCGCGAGTGCAGTGGTGCCCCTGCCCCCCACTCAGTCCACGGTCCCAAAAAGGTTGGGAACTGCTGGTATAGTGGATAGAATATTGGACTGAGATCCAGAAAACTTGGGTTCTAATTCTTGCTTGACCATGGAAACTCAATGGAGGAGGAGATGGCACTGGTTAGGGGTATCAATTAAATATCTCACATACTATGGAAACCCTATTAGAATTGCCATAAGACAGAATCAACTTGATGGCACATAATACAGAAGGTGTCCTAGAATATTAATATCAAAGTGCAACAGAAAATATATAGTCAGTAAGTTTTTGTTCCTGCTGTGGCCTTTCACAGTACAATTTGGCATAATGAGTGGTAACAGTGTGGCATATAGCCTCTATACTTTCTATACTTTATTACTATAGCAGTCATCCTCCTACTCATCTAAAAAAATCAAACCACAAAACAAAACTAGTCTGTTTGCTGGACAGCTGGAATTTTTGCAATATACCTGTACAACACAATGAGACAAGCTCTTTTTTTATTATAACTTAAAAAATTAAACGATGCTCCCGTATAGGATCCATTCAGATAATTAAAAGTGAAATGGGGGGGGGGGAGATCAGATCAAAACTTCAGAAATTAATGTTGCAATTCACTCCAAATTAATCAGGCATTCAGTTAAAGAAACTGAAGATTAACCAAGATGAAAACTCACCCTTGCTACAACTCCTGAAATGAACACCGTCGGTTTAGGTGGACTAGAAAATTAAAGAGAACTTTGTTATATAGTTTTAAAAAATCCAATTTCAGAACAGCAGATAAGAATTTATAACCAAGTGTAACAGAACCAACTTTATTAGTGGAAAGTAATACTCTCAAAATAAGCAGAATAATTTTCCGTACCTTTTATCCTTACTGCACTAGTCAGTAAAGTCTCCCCTAATATAGTATCGCCTAGACCAGGGGTGTCCAACCTTTCACCTTCCCTGGGCCACATTAGAAGATGAAAATTTGGTTTGGGCCGCACATACATTTGGTTTGGGCCGCACATATATTTGGTATGGGCCGCATGGGGGCAGCCCTAGCCGTCCTCTGCAGCCCCGCTCCAAGCGCGCTTACCAGCAGCTGCGATCTCAGACAGCAGAGACTGCCAGCTTCAACTCCGGCAGCTTTATGGGGCCGGGAGGGGGTCTACCTATTGACGGGGATGGCATAATGGAATCACACAGCCCCCCTCTCTCCTCCCCTCCTGCTCCTTCCTTCCTTCCCTCTCTCCCCCTGTACTGTTGTGACATGCCCTGGCCACATTCCAGCTACAAGCGCTGGCAGTGTTACTTAAAACTTTGGAATTTCTTTAAAAATAAAAAAGTGCACTGGGCCGCATTACGAGCTGACCTGGGCCGCATGTGGCCCTCGGGCCGCGGGTTGGACAAGCCTGGCCTAGACTGAAATACATAATCCCTCAGCAGCTTGTGTTCCTGGTGTCTGAGACAACAGAACTGAAGGGCCTAACTTCATGTGCCCACCTGAGTGAGTTTTGAAGTAACTGCTGAAAAGAACATGAGCATTTAAAGTACAGTAGTGTTCCAGAGCATCTTGTTAGCTCTGGAACACTACTTTAAAAGAGAGAGTGTGCAAATTTTCATAAAAGCAAAAGGACAGTTCTGAACATCACAAAGATGCGTATAGTCCACCATTTTCTATGCAACAGTGGCCAACCGTGCCTAGAACCTACAAGCATTGCATGCTGTCTGGGCATTCACAAGGTGGGCAGGAAGCACAGTTGCAGGGCCCACTCATGCTGTGTGACTAGAATTCCAGGACCAGCCAAATGCGAGCCCGGTGCAAAATGCATACACTTAAAATGAAGAAATTCTGAGCCCAGGAATTTCTTATGAGTACTGGAACTGAAGCAACCTTAATAGTCCAGCTTCATAGGTTATACTCATAGCCCTAAAAACGAACTGTAAGCTCCTTAACATACTTCTTGAAAAAGCAGCAACATAACTTGTATTTCCCTTCTTTTCAGGAAAGTACTGTAATACACTCATTTTTAATTTTACAGATAAATCAACTACTCTCTTTTTTCACCAAATAACACATGTTAAAATAACCATGTTTGCCCCCCCCCATTCCTTCACCCTCATCTCCTTTGCCCAAGGATGGGGATGTATTGAAAACTTCTTATTTCCTCTTTTAGGGCTTTGGCAAATTTGCTTGCTTTTATTTGGTAAGAGTTGATCTTCCAAATGTCACAGCTTTGAAAATGCCTCCTCTAGGATCCCCAACAGTGGAACACCCCTTAGACTGGTTGGTCCTCTGAGGAAGGGCTCCAGCCAGTTTGCCATCTAGTAACCTCACTTCCCAAGGGTCAACAACTGAGCAGTAAACACAGGGAAAATAACATTTTATTAGTCTTTAAAAGAAACACTACAACATAAAAATCAAAGAACCCTTCCTTCGACATTTCTAAGGAGTATGCTTGATTCACAATCTTTTTGAATTTGTGCTAAGTACCTGATGCCAATGAAAGGAAATAAGAGAAGACACATGAATATACATGAAAGGAAAGGAAGAAAAATGAATAGCAAACAATCTGTTAATAAAACATGAAATCTAGTTTTCATACACTATTTGCTTGCCATGACATTTTCTGAAAGGCTTCATAATGACGAATCTGAATTTGAATGATTTCCCCACATTTTTTCCCCACGACCTTTCAGTTTGCACTGTTCTCCACCGAACCATGAAATCTGAACACAGCATTTTCAGAAAATCACTTATTCCCATTAGATTTATCTACCACTACCACACAGGACCACAATGCTTTACAAGAATGCTTCTTGCATTAGAGATAATGCTCATCTGAACTTCTTCTCTTTCAGTCTCTCTCTGCCGAGATAAGTTGTAAGATATTCACAGGAGAAGTGTTTCATTCCAATGGCCATCCACGTGAAAATAAAGCAATAAAGTCCCAAATTGCAAACAATTCTGACCTGGATATAAGCAAGCATGCTGATTCAAGTACCAGCTAACTGCCAATCAATTGCAGTTTTTTTGTATGTGTGGGAAGCTGGTTAGAGGTCAAATCAGCTCTTTGGACATAAAATCAACTGAGACAGTCAGAATATCACACCACATTCTTTTTGTAAAACAAAAGTATAAGGTCTGAAAGATTACAGTGAACACCAATTCCTATTTTTGAGGATAATGTATCACTATTATATGCAAGTACAGATGAACAGGGATGGACACTTGTATTTTTCTCTCAAGATACAACCAGACCATTAAACAGATATAATCTCATCCCTGCTGGCAAGTAAACACACAAAAATGTCTCTATCCAACCAGGCTACCTGGAATAGAATTTCTTTTAAAAAGCCCATTCAAGATGTCAGTATGTACATGACTTAACGTTGAGCATCAGAGTATCCAATTATGATTGAGGTTACACAGACCAAATCCCCACTCAGATGTGGTTTACAAGTTGACCTTGGGCCAGGCATTCTCTTTCTGCTTAGCTTGCCTCACAGGGCTGTAGTGATGATAAGAAATTGTGTGTTTATGTGTGTAATGAATCACACACTTCCACCTTTGGAGAAAGACAGGATAAAGATAAATTAATGTTAAATAAAAATATGGGTCACTGGGTACATCATTGATTCTGTAGATTGCTTGCAAGGCTAAGAAAATAAATCTTTGATAACCTAATACATAATATATGTTTTAAATAGTTTTAACTCCCAAATATTAGAGCCAGTTAAGAGCAATTATTGGATTCTTAAGATGATTTACTGGAAAAAGTATGAAACAGAGGGATAAAGGAACTTATGTCCCTACAGATCTGTTTTGAGAAAGAAGACCAGTTGAAAGAATCAAGCACAGCAAATCCAGAACTATCAGACTCTCTAGCAGTCACAGTGGCTGATGTTATTCATCTCTGTTTCTTGAACAGGCTCTGTGGTCACTAGGACCCAGTCACAAACTATCAGATGTTGTATTTAGTAAGAACAGCTTCTGATCTTAGTGTATTTGCAGTATGCTAGCTTCTACAACCCTGTCACCAACAGCAGCTAAAAATAGAAAGGGACAGGGAAATTCTGACAGCAGTATCTCTTTCACCTTCTCCAAATCTCCAGGAAAGTAGAGAGATGAGGAAAGAGGGGTTTTCACTCTTTCAAGTGCTTTGCATTCTGCTGATGTTTCAGGCGAAGTGTAACCTACATTTCTAGTATTTTATAAACTGTAATGGTTGCTTTAAAGGATATATTTAATCTGATAAAAAACAGTTTGACAGATGTTACTTTGAAAACATACTTTTTTCTCTGGTGTGTGCGTGTGTGCAGATCTATAGATATTTAAAGCAACCTATGGAATGTTTGCTTTTAACAAATGCATTCAGGAAACATAAGGGGAGTTCTTTTTTAAATTTTATTTCTCAAAACGTCTCATAAATAAAACCTAAAATTTCTGAGTGTATCCTCCTCTATTTTAAAATAGCTTTCCTTTTCATATAGAAATAAACCCAACATCTGCTTATGTTGAAACTATTCAGAGCCCTTACACATGTCTCACATGTTCTGAGACTAAGAAATGCACCTGCTGAATAGCAATGTATTCAAGTGGTTCATTTATTCTTAATCCCATAAAATGGAATTCTAATATTTCATAATACTAATGCTTAAACAAGACGTTTATTGACATTGCAAAGAAATAACCACAGCCTTCTGCTCAGCTAAGCAGTGAAGTATGATGAATACTAAAACGACTTCATCCTCAAACTCTTATTACGACTTGGGGTCTTTGTTCTTGAAGTAGCATTTCTGTTATATATTAATGTTATATTTAGATAAAATAGTATATGAATAATAATTAGTCTAGCCCCTGTCAAGGAGGCACAGTGGGGAATTGATCCCAGCATCTGACTCTGCAGCTAGATACTTAAACCACAAAGCTATCTAGCGGCTCTACGGAGCACTTTAGTCTATTCAAAGCACTTTACATATTTTACCATGATAATCTTTCCCAGAACATTGTATGGCTGGTTTGCATTATGCACTTTTATATACTCTCCATATGCACCATTGTCATCCAAATCTGAAAACATACAGAACACTTGGTTGAAATTCTAGTGTAATCATGAAGAAATCATTCTTGCAGCCTTAAGCTATTCTCAACTGGAGATTGGATGATAGGAGTGGCGTGCAATACTCTTTCAGGAATAGTACTTTGTATTTATTATGATATTTCCAGGTCAAACAAATATAAAATCACAGATTGATCATCACTATGTACTTTGATTAGAATTGAGATAAAAATCAATTGATTACTTATTATTAACCCTGTGTTATGCAATAATAAATATTGTCCCAAGCAGAGAGTGCTGTTGCACAGACCATGACAGCAAATACAGCAGGAAGGCCTCCACCCCTGGCTTTACATTAATGCTTTAAGTACATACCTGTCAATTGACAGAGGTTTTATTTTGCTTGTTTGCTTAACTGGTTCAATCTACGTGCAGCTTTTTGAGAGAAAGTGCCTTTGAACTCTATGGCCTTACTTAGGATTACTTACTGTGGGCAGCATTTTAAGACTAATTTTGGTGGCACTTTAAAGACAGAATTGCCTGTCTGAGGACATTATTATGAATACGGCAAGCTCCCTTTAGGTAGTCAGACTATTGGTCCATCCAGCCCTGTATTGTCAGCAGTGATTCACATCAGCTCTCCAGATTTTTAGGCAAGATGTTCCATCCTTC